CCGAGGAACAGTGAGCGGGCCGAACGAAACGATCCCTGACTGATCGGAGGTGAGACAGTGATATTTTTAAGCAACTTTCGTCTGCTTCGATCTTCTACACTTTTATAGAGTTCTGTATGTTGTATTCATGATTAAATGCAGCTAAATAAACTAAATCAAAGGTAACAGATGTTTGTAATACTTGGTTTATTTACAGAATAACTTTAATGTCTGGATGTTCGGCCCCTGAGCTGCTGACCTGCAGGAACTGTGACCCTCACAGTGACTGAATAGTTCTGGTCTAACCTTAGCCTGCTGTCAGTGTGACCACGCACTGCCCTGTTACCATGTTCATATCAGACTTACTGTGTTGGGACATGTATTTACACGTCTTTATACTGGAAGAATAACTTCAGTTAAAACGTTATACGTAAATAATAACTAAACAAACATAATTTGGGTTTAGATCSAGTATTAGCACTTGTAGTTGCATTTTTTTATTTAACATCTTCGTCTGTCAGTTTTCTTRCTCTTATCCAGGGTCAGGTCTCGGGGCCAGCAGCCTCAGCAGAGACCCAGACTTCCCTCTCTCCAGACACTTGGACCAGCTCCTCTGGGGGAATCCCCCGGGAGGCAACTCTATATTAACTACATAGCACCATCCTCACACATAACCTTATGACCCCCCCAGGCACTGACCAACTGAATGAACATGGRGTGGACAGCCCACAGACATACCATAAGCATTTCTAGAAGCCATAGTTGGTCTCCTTTAAGTCTGAACAGACGGTGTGTTGGTGCTGACTGCAGACAAATGTCTTCTTACCGCTGACGGTCTGACTTGTAGGTGGCTGTGAGTTCATCAAATAAGGTACTGTTCATCTCCATGAAGGCCTTCAGGACGTTGTAGACCAGCGCCACGATGGCCCTGAGACACAGGACAGACCGCTGAGTCAGACCACTCAGACACACACACACACACAGACAGACAGACAAACACACACACAGACAGACAAACACACACAGACAGACAAACACACACAGACAGACAAACACACACAGACAGACAAACACACACAGACAGACAAACACACACAGACAGACACACAAACACACACACAGACAGCTGAGACTCTGTTATTTTAATCTGACACTAATAAAAGTCAAACAGTGAACTGGGTCGGACCCTCTCAGTAAAACCCTGCAGCTAGCACACATTAGCACCTAGCCATGGTGCGTTCACAGACCAGGGAGAACGTAGGACGTGTGGACTCACGGGTTCCAGTGCTCTTTGGAGATCCTGTAGAGGCTGGCGAACATGATGGGCAGGATAACGCTGGAGTTCTCCTCAATCAGACTCATGATGTACTCGTTGTTCCAGTAGTACAGAGCTCGCTCTGCCACCTGACAGACCACACAGAGAGCCTTCACAACCAGTACAGACTGGACAGGCAGAACCTCCGGTCCGGTTCATACTGACCTGGAAATGTGGGCTGGACACACATCTGGAGATCTGTTTGAAAAGTGGCTCCTGGATTTTAACGAACTGTGTGGGTTCAATAACGTCCAGGATCTCCTCCAGCTCTCCTAAAAACATCACCTGAAGCAGAGCAGGGGGAGAGGTTACCCCCCAACACATTCTGCTTTTTATATCCCTGTGGGGACTTTCCATTGACCTACATTTTTTTAGTTTAGTTCAAACTTTACTCATTTCTTAAAAAACTACAATTAATTCTATGTACAATAAAAAGAAAATGCTAATAAAATGAAATGAAAGGTGGCAGAGAAGAAAAAACTCATAATTTTTATTTCAATTTTTAATTTTATATCCTAACCCTGAATATTTACTCATTTCTTAAAAAACTACAATTAATTCTATGTACAATAAAAAGAAAATACTAATAAAATGAAATGAAAGGTGGCAGAGAAGAAAAAACTCATAATTTTTATTTCAATTTTTAATTTTATATCCTAACCCTGAATATTTACTCTAAAACTAACCTCACAGGTACCTACCTGACCCTAAACTAACCTCACAGGTACCTACCTGACCCTAAAACTAACC